TGACTGTGGTAATCAGACAGCTGATAAACATTCTTATATTTTTCTAAATACGTACATATTATAGATGAACTACACCCATACACAGAAGGACCGATCGTGCTCCTTACACAATGTTTGTCATAAGTCCAACCCAGGACATCTGGCTAGTAACCAGGTCCACTAACCATGGGACTAACAGACCAGTATTTAAAAAATAAACTACTAATATCTCTATGACTATTTAAAAAAAAAACACTATCGCTGATTCAAATATTCCTACCGTTAAAAGTATAATGAATACGATTTCTGCCTACACGTGCAAAACTCATAACGTAAAGCAATCAAGATAATTCAGTCATATGAAACAATTGAACCGGAAGCTGTAAATATTCAGATGACGTCACACCGCCAATATTCGAAATGAGTTTTACATCACAATCAATAGTCCTGGAGGTAGAAACTTGATCTCGCTAATTTCTTAACTCGGTAAAAGGATTACTGTTATTTCACGTAGATTAAAACAGTGAGTTTCAATTACGAGCCTTCGTTTAGTCTTTTCGCTAAAATAATAATAAAACTAAGGTAAGCAGTATTTCGTAAAACATCTAGCAGAATCAACTAACGTATGATTGTCATCCACTATTATTTATGATATTTATTTAGGTATGTATGTATTTATGTACTTTATATGTATTTAGGTATATGTATGTACACACTTATGTATGTAATAATGTGTATGGGTTCTAGTGTATGATAGGTTTATGTACGCGTATTTAATATTATAACTACAAACAATCTTTAACCAAAATGCACCTACTTCCTGTTCTCTCTGCATCACCCAAAGGTTGACTGGTAAACAATGCCTTAAGCATTAAGTCTGCCAATGCCCCAAAAGTGTATGATGTATAAATAAATATAAATGATGACGAGGGCAAATTACATGTCAGCTGTTTTGTAGACAAAAAAAAATACGTTTTCCTTTTTTAAAAATTGAGAAGGATCCAACTGCTTTGTATATGGGTTTATTACGTATCAACGAATTGGAATCGATACTTTCTTCTAATTATTTTATACATTAAAATAGGGATGGTTTTGATTGAATGACGCTTGTCTTGCCTCTCACAATCTTTTATGTATAGTGAGCTTTAACTGTTTAGCCAGTCGTGGATGATTCGATTCCCACCCAGAAAAAAATAATAGTGACATGAGCACGATCATTTGTTGTATGTATTGGAGTGATTTAAATATAATATATCATCATTCTGCTTACCATAGTACACGCACCGTCGGGTTTGGGATCAGACGGTTGTATGTGAGGACATCATGAACTCGATATATTTATCAGACTTCCTTCTTCCTTACTTTCAAAGACTAGTTCTATCTATCTTCTTATCACCTCGTCTCCAATATAATAATTTAATAAAATAATATTCTACTACATTCACACAACGCCATCTAGTCCCAAACTAGACAACTGATATAAATACAATAATACTTTTTTTTGTTAATACATACATAAAACATTTAAAAACTTAGACCAAATCAAACATTAGATCTTCATGCACACAAATGTTTGACTTGAGCGTCAATCGACCTTTGGAATAGCACTACGCCATCCGGTCGTCATCAACAGCAGTGACCAATTAAACTAAAGGCTATATACTCGTATATTCGGTAGAAGTTAAATTGCTTTGGACGACACCAGAGTATCAAAACCACTACCTCTTTACCTATCTCATCTCACAGCACCCTTCCATTCACAGATCGAGGCATATAAATAAACCCGTAGCACTGAGTCACGCATCTCTATTGTATGATTGATGAGGCCGGGCTGAAGAGCGGAGTGATCGGGACCTGAGCTGAGTAGATTCCCACTTGTGCTTTTAGAATATTATTATTGGGACTAATCTGTTGTTGATAGGCGTAATATTTGATAATTTGTACATACTTACAGAGCCTTAGGTTTCTGTTGTTTTTTTTTTAGAGTCCAAAATGCATGGTTACATTATAATTATGTACAATAATAATTGTAGAAGTTTGCAACTATGTCACAATTAGTTACGCTTACCTCCGAAAATATATTATAACGTATTATTCTAACGGCTATCGAATTTAGCGCATTTACTAGTACTTCGTAAAACTGAGAACACCATTTGACTCTTCAATTGCAAATGTCCATGGGCTGCATTCAAATTCGTTGATACGTAATAAAACCATATACAAATCAGTTGGATCGTTCTCAAAACGTTTTTTTTTTGTCTACAAAACAGCTGACATGTCATTTGCCCTCATCATCATTATTTATTTATTTATTTATACATCATACACTTTTGGTGCATTGGCAGACTTAATGCTTAAGGCATTCTTTTATCTCATAAGGTACAGTACGTTACAGAGTATCGTAATTACATATGCATATAAATAATAATAATAATTGTTGTGTGTTTGTGTCTGTGTCTGTGTCTGTGTTTGTGTGTAGTGTCCAAAATGATCCAAGTCGTTAAGAAACACAATACAATTAATTAATAGAAGTTTTGAAGCGGTATGTGGCATTATATTGTAACACCTTTTTGTTTCTTATACAATTTTGCTCGAAAATATCTCAAGGTTAAACTACTCAAGTCATTGACCTAAAGTATTGGTATGCGACAGATGCTGAAAGTTACAAAAAATGTCACGATCGTCTGACATTGCGTATGGGTTGAACAAAAACGTCTATCGTTCCTTTTTGTTTGATGTCCTGATAAGAGATTGCCTTTTGATGTGATCCTCCCTTTTATTTTGTACACTCATTTACAACATTTTCATATTATTACATATGTTAGAAAATATATCGTTGAAAATAAACCACCTCTAAAAAGAGAAAAGTAAACCATATTTCTATGTTTCAAATTATTATTTGTCATTTGTCAGCTACTTAAAAAATATCACGCTGCTGGGTTTTCTTGTAGTTTCCGTTTCAACACAGAATTGATCGCTATTTCTATAAGCATCTGGGAGAAAGAGTTACTCGTAAACGGAGTTTTTAATGAAAATGAGTCTGAGAATTCACAAAAGTTTTTCTAAATATGTTAGTCGTATTACCTATTATTATTCAAATTCAAAGCGTGTCAGATTAACATAGGAGGAATACCTTACACCCAGTTGAGTACCTCCACCATACATGCGCCATTCATAAAGGGGGGATCATCTAGGGCCCATCAGATTAGTTAAAAAAAACGATAGCCAAAGATACTCGAGCGTGTAAGATTAAGGTAATTTGAGTCAATTACATACACAATAGTGTGTATTTAAAAAACCTGACGATTTGAGTGTGACAAAAAGCAGCGAAAATGTTAACAAAGTACCATAAAAAAGCACATGACCTTGACAATTTGTTTTATTTTGAAGCAAATAATGGAAGAAATCTTCTTTAAATGTCTACATAATTTTTCGTACCTTCATTTGTCACAATTTATAAAAATCCAAATGTTTCAAACTGTCAGATATAAAATACTCTGCAAAATTATCGTCAGATTTTTGGCTGATATGACAGGAACATCAAGCTGAACCGTCTGTATAAAAGGTATTTTGAATTAGCGATTTTTCGAATTTGCTGTTTGCATTTTCTATCATCTATTAATATTGGTCTCGATCTTTTATTAATTTGTGAAATATATATAAGTTTATCTTTATATTATTTTATTTAATTCTAGATACTATGTGTAACAAGAATATTATTATTATGTCATAGGTATTTTAAGATTACCATTGGCTTGGGTCAGTGCACTTAGATAATATAGTGTATGTAAAACAACTATTACACAATCAAAACATTAACATTCTAGTATCTCACGATATACTTACTGGCTAATTAATGTAACAACACAAGTCTTGCTTCCCGCTGCCACTTATTTGGCTTTTTCTCCTAACACGCAGAATTCTTTATCAGAATCCTCACTCATTTGTGAAAACCTAGTTAATATTAGGTCTAATTAAAGAAAGTCATACCCCTACATGTACATACATGTGTCACCATAATGCCAGGGGAATGTGTCCGTGTAGTGACGGATTAAGAATACGGCATGTCACTACCCCAATTCATCCCGTGGGTGTCGTAAGAGCCGACTAAGGGCGCAAAACAACGCAGGACACCAGCACTGCAAAAGGAAGGAAAACTTGACACAACCCCTATACCAACCCGTCTGGTCAGCGTGGTATAGTAGGCCAAAACCTCCTTTCTAAGGAGAGGCCTATGTCCAGCAGTGGACTATTAAGGGCTGTTGATGATTGATGATAACGATGTATGAGAAACACGTTACTTTCAAAGCAAAACAGTAACTGAAGTCTGGATCAAGATGTTTGTGGTATTGTCTGCTATTTGTAAGGCATCTAACAGGCAATAAACTCAACAATATAATTAAAACAATTGAATTGTTTTGTTTCATTAGCCAATTATTTTATTTCAATGCGCAACGAGTAATGCAAAATCCACACGATACAATGTTTTAAAATGAAATATTAAATATAGGAATATAATGATTAACACACCTTTTTCTTTCTTTTTTTGTTGTTTGGACAGAAAACATCGTACCGTACAATCTCACACTTCTAAACACACATAAAATCGTATTCTATGCAGCAGCAAACATATAGCATTCAGGTTTAGTACTGTTAGTAGTTAGTAGGTAGTGTGTATAAAATGAAAAGTTATGTAGGCTTAAATGAACAAAAAATATAAAATAAACTGTTTTAAGTATTTCGCATGTTTTAAGTTAAAAAAAATATATACCCGATGTTATATTTGTTACGTAATTAGTACCTACCATACATATAATGTTTTTGAGTAAACATTATTCAATATCACTTCTACATAGATATCTGACGAATATGTCAAAGTTCAAATTACAAGCGCGATTTGCTATCGAAATCAAAACACCAGTGAACACATTTTATTCTCCAATACCATTGTTTATTAGGTTCAGTGCGGTCTTTTGTGTCGAAATAAGACGTAGAAAAATACGTGTTGACTCCTAAAAATCATGAAGGTCATAGTAACTGGTGCTGCTGGATTCCTCGGTTCTAGGATAGCAGATGCTTTGCTAAGTGAATCTTCGCCTATAAAAGTAACTGACCTAATCCTTACTGATGTGCAAGCTCCTCAAAAACGTCAAGATGCTCGAGTAGTTACACTTGCACTTGACCTTACAAGTTCATCAGCTGCAAGTCATCTTATTGGATCTGGCTGCGATGTCTTTTTCCATCTTGCTGCTGTTGTTAGCGGCTTATCAGAAGCGGACTTTGATTTTGGAATGAAAGCTAATCTGGATGCGACTCGATCTCTTTTAGAAGTCTTACGTAAGAAATCGCCTACAGCAATATTCATATTCACCAGCTCTGTTGGAGTTTTTGGTGGAAATCTACCACCTGTAATAGATGACTTGACTGCAGTAATGCCACCGACGTCATACGGTACTGCTAAGGCGATGTGTGAACTACTAGTGAATGATTACGGTCGCCGTGGATTCGTAGATGGTCGTAGCGTTAGACTACCAACAGTGAGTGTACGACCTGGCGCACCAAACACTGCTGTGACGTCATTTGCCAGTGGAATAATTCGAGAGCCATTAAACGGAATAGCGTCAATATGTCCTGTGCCTCCCGAACAAGAAATGTGGTTATCAAGTCCAAATACTGTAGTACGCAACATTATTCATGCGGCAACTTTACCTAATACAGTCTTTGGACCATGGCGTACTGTAAACCTTCCCGGAATCACAGTTTCAGTCGGTGCTATGGTGGAAGCGTTAAAAACAGTAGCAGGAGACAAAGTGGCTTCTTTAGTTAGCTATAAACGAGATGAAAGACTGGCCCGTATTAATGCTATTGTTCCCAGTAAGTTTGACAACACTCATGCTCTGAAACTTGGGTTTTTCGTAGATTCTAACTATGAAGATGTTATAAGAATGTACATTCGCGACGATCTGAAGAAATCTAAATAAGATAGTAAAATAAAAAATAGTTATAATGTAAGATATGGTAAATGGAGTAAAGAAATTTAAGATGTGTTTTGTTGCTTTTCCTATCCTTACCATTTTGTAAAAAAAAACGTATACGTGTATGACTTAGAAATACAAAATAAAATAAATGTAAATAAGTCTGATGTCTGGAGTTCGAGAAATATATCGGTTTTTTTATTAGTTACGAATCCAAACACCGTTATTAAAAAATGACTAACAAAGTCAGTTCCTAAAAATGGAAAAAAATCATTTATGAAATCGAAGCGAGATCCATCCGAAGTTATAGGATTATATCTGCTTGTATATCAGATGTATTCCCATCATGTTACATTAAACGATTCAATCTCTAGAAAATTCTTTGGGATCTGATAAAGTGAGAGTGGACATTCGTAGAGATAAGCAAGAAGTTAGGCAAGAGAGACAAAAACCTACAGTTTTGAATAAACATCGTTACTTACGAGTAACTTAACCGTGAAAGTTCAAATTTCACTTCACGTCAGTGAGTATTTTATACGCTTTCAATTTTGCTGTAGTTAGTATTGGCAATGTAGACGACGTTCGTGGAACTAGAATGAGTTTTCCTTAAATGGCAATTTGATTGGTGGTCCTCTTATTAGTTCAAAGAACAAAGAATATTAAGACATTTCTCAACAATATTCAGCGTTCTAATAACCTTTTCATGAAATGTTTTTTTTTCGTTATAAACCGTATCGTCTTTTGTCATTAGAAGCATTGTTTTGTTTTAATTAAACAGAACTGTCCTAAATTAAAACAAAAATACTTTTGAAATAAACTTGGTTATAGAATAAACGACCATGGTGATAAACTTTAAGTAAAAAGTAAAATATCACAAAGCTTCTATCTTTGTACTCAATTTTATTACTTAGACATACATTCTTCTCTAGCTTCGAAGTATGCCGAAGATAAAACTGAAACATATCTCCACAAACAAAAGCAAATATCGCTTCAAGTTTATGTTCCCGCTTTATCTATGACGTCATGTAACCAAACCTAACATACTCGTACATATTATCTGTAATTCAAGTTTTGTTTTCAAATCTTTGTACTTGCAGTAAACTTTTTATAAATAATTTTTATTTTCTTCTTAATTCTTGAAGTTATCCGGATCCCAAACTTCCTCCCTGGTTCGGAGAAAACTCAAGGGGTGGCACTATATTTGTGACTCTTGAATTGTGCGTATCGGAACACGAGTGGCGGAAGTCACTTACCATCCCTGCTACTTATACCTGCTAATTCTCTCCCCCTCCAAAACAACCATGATTTTATATTAATGACATTAGAAGTAATGTCACACGTCCTACACATAGAATTAAAATTTGTCTCGTTTGTGTCACTGAATTTCACCATTGTGTATCCATCATAGATATCTGTCAAAAGGCATTAAGAGACAGGATATACGGTGTTTTGTACGGTGGAGTTTTATATCGCTCAACAGAGCATTATTGTATTCCGAATGCATCACCTACATTTATCTTGTTCATGTGTACATCACACGGAGGAACCATTTTTCCTTCTTTCACGGACATAATTTTCAGCGAAATCCTGTCCTTATTGTATTTTATTTACTGCGGTGAGAATTAAATAAAGAGGTTTTATTATTTGGATGTAATGTACTCTATTTGGACAGCTCAGATTGGTATAAAAGTGTCAGCCCTCAAGGAAAACTGTTTGAATAGATGTTACTGACCTTTTTTTTAAACGACTTTAAAAAAGGAAGAGGTTCTGGATTGGGCTGTTTTTATTTTATGGTTGGTTACCTCAAAACTCTGACAGGTCTAAAGCAAAAAAGATTTTTTTTTTTTTGGGAATGTATAACTCCCGTTTGGTGCCATTCATAAATGGATAAAATACCACTCTCAATAGTGGACAATTAAGGAAGAAAGGAGACAGTTTATCATAATTCATAATGATGCAGGTGTTTAGAAGTTGGTAATACCTACGTTTTTAAAAGGTAATTATATTTTTATCGTTGTATTATTACCTCCTGTCTAAAGAGAGGCCCAGGTCCAACAGTGAACTGTTAAAGGCTGCTAATGATAATGATTATTACTAATAGTCGGCCAGGAATTTGAAATTTGAATAAACAATCGCATTTAAATATGTAGTTGGGCAATAATAAAATCATGACCATTTAACGTACTTTTTCTTCAAATTTGAATGGGACGAAACGGGAAGTATACTCTCAAAATAATATTAAAAAGGATGAAATGAGGCATGAAAAGGAATTTATGAGTAAGTGAGCGACCGAAGGTTCGGTTTTGGCAAAGAATCTAGTTTCGGTTCGTTTCGTTCGGTTAACTTCGCGGCTAACTCGTTCACACCGTTCTGGCCCAGTTCGCCGTCGCCTAGTGCGATCTTATTTTTTATGGTGTGTGGGGACAAGCGAGCAGACAGGTCGAATGATGGTAAGTTACTACCGCCGCTCATGAACACTTGCAACTTAAGAATTAGCTGTCCCCCAGAATCAGGAGAACCGGGGGCTCCGGTAACCTCTCTCAGTTCAGAAAAGCTAAAAACTACACTAGATTTCAGTATACAATCGAAATTTGAAAATGATAGATTGAGTTTCGGTTTCGGCCTAAACTGGAACAAGGTCCGAAAGTTTAACCGTGAAAAGACATCTCTTGAGGCCATCAAAGCGAACATCACCTTTATAGTAGCGTCCTTATCTATAACGGTGGCCATAAATCTTTGAACCTCAATTTAGCTTATCATCAGGCGGCGTTGAGGTCACAATGAGAGGTTACAATTGAATAAATAAAAGCGGCTTTCTGACCGATTGTACAACCAGTGATGGGTAATATTTTATTTTGTGAAGCTTACCCTACTTTTTTTAAATAGCTTTACATATTTACCGTTGACTGCACGGTTGGCGTAGTGGTATAAGCAGTTGCCACGCCACTTACTACTACGCTGAGTGTTGTGGGTTCGATACCCACATGGGACGACACTTTGTTGATCCACAAATTGTTGTTCTGAGTCTGGGTGTGCTTTGTGTCCGTTTCATGTACTTATGTTTGTAAAGTACCCCGCGACACAGGATATGTTTTTAGTGCGGGAGTTGTCTTTATATAAAAAATATGAAATAAAATATTTCTTTCCTTGGTCACTAATTTAGATACTGACGTATGAGTATTAATGAATATTGTAAACTAACTTATTATACAGTTATGCCTGATTTGAATATATTTATTTGTAAGAAAATAGGAATAAATAGCAAGCAGACATCAAATAATACCAACAACAAAGAGCACTAAAAACCTAGCAGCAATCGCGGTTTATTTGCTGTCATTTTTTTAAGACTTTTTTTGTCTGTCTCCGAACTCGTCATCAGATCTTTATGAAATTTAAATGTGACTATTTTGGAATAAACCCCTTTCGAACAACAAAAGAATTTTGAAAATGCCTGCCTGAACATACATGAACATCCGAATTGATAACCTCCTCGTTTTTGTAGTCGGTTAAAAATAGTAATATTATTAATTGAAATATGTTTTATATGATTTAATTTAAAATAAATTTCACTTTTTAAGTTTATCTTTTAATAACAATGAAGTAGAATATATGAGAGAAAGGCAATTATATAGGATAGTATTTAATTACTGCAGATATATAAATGATGCATTTATAAATTAGTTATTTGAAACGAAATCATAAATATATAATATATCATATAATCATAATAATATAAATATATTCCAATTATTTGCAAATATGATAAACATTTGCCGTGATTCTACAGACTTGTGCAAAAAATGATTCTAAAACCTCTTTCATTATTCATACTTTGTGATAATCGGTTTGAATTGAGTTTGAGACATAGCATTATTTAAACATACGTTTTTTTATAATTTCTATTAAAAACTTACTATGAATGATAAATCTTTAAGTAGAATAAACTGTATTTTTTCAACAAAAGAAACGAATGATCCTTTAAGTGAATATAGCAGAAACAGACACATGTAAACCCCATTTCCAAAAGCTAAAAATATTACCTTTGCCGGGTATTTACATTTTAGAAATTTGTACATTTGTCTGGAAATACCCGGAACAATACACTACTAGAGAAAATATACAGAATACATACACACTAAGGCACATAAATAAACTTAACCTACGAACCTCCCGTCTAGCAATGCATTCCTGAGGCCCCTTGGTCATGTCAATAAAAATATATAATAAGTTGCCAGAGTCCAGAGTTTTGTATTGTGTATGTGAACGACATTTAATATCATACTAGCTGAGACCCGCGGTGTTACCCGCGTTTGTTGTTATAACCGCGGGCAACGCTGCGGGGCGAAGTTAGTCTGAAAAAAGTAGCCTAAGTTACTCCTTATGTCATCAGCTATCTGCCAGTGAAAGTCCCGTCGAAATCGGTCCAGCCGTTCCAGAGATTACCCGGAACAAATAGACAGACAGACAGACAGACAAAAATTGAAAAAAATGATATTTTGGCATATGTACCGTGTAAACATACATATGCATTTAGTAAAAAGCGGTTATTTTAATATAACAAACAGACACTCCAATTTTATTTATTTGTATAGATAATTGATATTTACATCGCATTTGTCCAACTTATTATTTGTATATAAATATGTGCTCATGCAATTTAATATAATCTAATATTGACTTATTTAAAAACACTATTAAAACATACACATTTACTATAGTTGAGTACAATTTTTGTATGTACACATTTATAACAGATACCTAGGACAGCAAGTTTTTCTATAATATAAATTAAAATAGAAAATATTTTAATAGATTATATATAACAACTAGCTAACTCGCGCAACTTCGTCTGCGTCTCTCAATAGTAATAATTTTTTTCCGTTTTTGAAACATTCTTCATTGGTGCACCGCTCCTATTGGTCTTAGCGCGATGACATATAGCCTATAGCCTTCCTCGATAAATGGGCTATCTAACACTGAAAGATTTTTTTCAAATCGGACCAGTA